GTCATGTCTGCCTATGCTGTCATCTTGACTGGAAGTCCCAGTGCTTTATGTCTTAAAACAGAGTTAGCCATAGTTTTCTAATAGTGGATGACAACCTTAGAGATAACAGTATACAGACCATGTGAACTTATTTTAAGATCCATGGTGATATAAGCACTCTCTTTAGGGTCTGGGTATTGGGTGGGACTCAAGTACAAGTCAAGTGTCCCTGTCAGCTGTCTTTATAACTGTTTTCTTATGTCTTGAATCCTCTATAATGTTACAGTTTTGTGCACAGAGTTTTAACAAAGGTGAAAATGGGCTGCTGAAATTTAAGAATTCCAATTGGTATCAATTATAATTACTTATTCATCTATTCACTCAACAAATATGTATCAAGTGCTTACTATGCACCTGGCAATGTTTTAGATGCTGGGGATACAGCAGTGAAGAAGATAGTCACTAACTTCCTGGTGCTTTCATTCTAGGGAGGGGAGACAGAAAACAGACATGTACATGTGAGTGTGTGTGTGTGTGTGTATGAATGAATGAAGCAGGGTATCGGTGCAGGGTATCTGTGGGAGGACTGAGGCTAAAGTTGGCTCTTTTATCTAGTGGGTTACAGACAGCCTCTCTGATGAGGTGACACTTGAGCAGTGACTAACCAGAAGTAAGAGATTCAGATCTGACCCCCGCCAAGGTTTAGGCAAATACAGTCTTAGGGACAGATAGGCAGCTAGTCACTTTTGCATACTAATGTTAATTCAACTATGTTTATAATCAAGCAACAATTATTCTTGCTAAGAGTCTCAGTTAATTCACACGCACACTGTACTGGTAGGAATTATTTTAAGGATAAATCAGAAGTGAGCTATAATTGAACAACAATAAAATAATTTTTAAAAAAGAAATGAGACTGCCCTGGCTGGCGTAGCTCAGTGGATTGAGCGCGGGCTGCGAACCAAAGCATCGCAAGTTTGATTCCCAGTCAGGGCACATGCGTGGGTTGTAGGCCACGGCCCTCAGCAACCGCACATTGATGTTTCTCTCTCTCTCTCTCTCTTTCTCCCTCCCTTCCCTCTCTAAAACATAAATAAAATCTTTTAAAAATTTTCAGTTAGATATTAAAAAAAAAGAAATGAGACCATAGATTTATGCCCAAAGATGTTTATCACAGGTTTATAACATAAAAAATTGGAGTTAACCAAAATGTCCTTCTTTTTCTGACCTCCTCCTCTCAAGGCTCCACGGGGCACCTGTCCTCTGCAGTTCCAAAGCCCATGGACTTCTCTCTGTGCTCATGTTCTTGTACTATGGAAGACTTGCCGGCTTACCTGTGTACTTCTCCCCACTTGAGCTCCTTGAGGACAGGGGCATGTTGCATTCAGCACATGGTATCCAGCACATCATAAGAAACATGTTTAAGAAAATATTGGTTAAATGCTCTCTGGCATATCTGTAGACAGAATATTATTCAGCCATTACAAATCATGTTTTGAAAAAAATTAGTGAAGAAATGATAGTACTAAGTATAAAAAGCAGGCTATAAAACTATATATACATCACCTAATAAATTTAAAAAACTATATACACACAATAACCTCCATTATGAGACTCCAAAATAATTAATGGCTGTACCTGAATGAGATTAGGATTTCTGCCTTTCCCTTTGTAGTTTTTATTTCCTACTTTGGATATAATGTTAGCTTCATAATTAGAAAAAAAAAGAGTTTAAGTACTCAAGGTGATTGGGTTCCACATTACAAGCCACAGCCATCACTCTGGCCCTCCAAACCTTAGAAGGCTCATTGGTAGGACTCCTGTCAATAGGCCCACCCTTAGCACATGGTATCCTCTACTATTACCTTGAAAGTTCGCATCCTCAGCCTCACCTTTCATCTTTGTCGTCACCCCTCCCAGAATCTCAGTACTACAGTCCTATAAAAGAGTTTTGGTTCTATCTCCCAAAGTTCTCTCTGAGTCTTCTCCCTCTCTCAACCCATGTATTTCTCCTCATTCCAGTTTCACTTCCTCCAAGGAGACTGTCCTGATTGAGGACATACAAGCACATTTCTTAGGCACCTCTTGGGACCAAGGCAGGGGGATGGGTGAGTGTTTCATACAAGTGTCCAGTCCCTGTTCATCTACCTCCCTTCAGCATTCAGCAGTGGAGCTTCACCCCCAACCAAATGATTGGTTCTCTCAGACTGAAATTCAGACTTAGAAATAATCATGAAGCTTGAAGAAAATCCACTTCCATTTCTCCTATGATATTTGTTTTTATTTTGGGGGGACAACCCTAGAAATGTTATTGGTTTTTTTTAAATTTTATTTATTTTTAGAGAGGGGAAGGGAGGGAGAAAGAGAGAGAGAGAAACATCAATGTATAGTTGCCTCTCATAAGATCTCCACTGGGGACCTGGCCTGCAACCCAGGCATGTGCCCCAGACCCCTTGGTTTGCAGGCCAGTGCTCGATCCACTGAGCCACACCAGCCAGAGCTGTTATTGATTTCTTCATGGTTTTTCTGTTTGGCTTCAGGATAGCCTTCTTAGCTTGGTTAGTTTAAAAATTGGGTTGTAAACCCCTTAAAACATTTTTAATTAATAGAAACTATAATGAAGTTTTGCATTTTTAGGGCACTTTCCCATCAAGAGCTCAAAGCTTGCCAACAAATCTGTTTCCTGGAGATCTAGTAACATTCTATAGGGGTGAGAGGGAAGGTAGGTATTCCTGACTTAAATATATTGCTAGATCCACATAATATAAGCAAACTTGTTGCCATTTAAAGAGAACTGGCCAAACTGGTTTGTCAGGAATTCAAGTCTTCTTTTATTCAGTTTTTTAATCGTTCTATTTTTTCCTCAAAAATTCTAGCTACAACCTACTAGGCTGAAATATTTGAACACCTGTTGCTCCAACAAAAAAGGAATAGCCCAGTTTACTGTGAATTCTGAATTCACAAATGTGATGAGCACACACTCATTTACAGGAAGGGGCTGCCCCCACAGCCACTCCAATTTGGGATAGATTAAAAGGGCGTGAACTAAAACCACCTCTCAGGAACCTGCATCTGTTTCATGGATCTCCCTGGGCTTCAGGGACCACCTTCTGCTCCACATGTCAGGAACCAAGCCTTGGTGACCCTAAGAACAGAGCTAGGAATGACAGCAATGGTTCATCACCTTAGGAGGCATGACTCCCTGTCGGTCCTTACACTACCAACAAATTTATTTCTGGCTGGGAAAGAGTCTTCCCTGCCTTGGCCATTGTATTACCTCATTAGAGCTAATTTTGGGAATGGCATTCTCTTCCCCTGACTTCAGTCAAAACCACCATGCCTGCCCTCTGTTGGCCACTGCAGTCAGCCATAAAGAACACCTATCACTCATGCATGTGTTGCTTTGTTACAGTTCTCATTTGTATGAAGCCGAAGAGAAAGATTTTCACTAGGCCCTCTGGGTGCTAAAACAGCTTGGTGTTAATTTGTGCTAAAATAACTGGAGGACTAAAACCTAATCTCATACAAAAGAGAGGCCATGACGACCTTAAGTTACAACACAAAGGCCTTTGTGGAACCAGGATTATTTTTACACAGACAGTGGCAACCATGAGCAATAAATTATACACCCTGTGGTTTTCCCATCAAGGAGCTGGTTGTGAAAGGAAATAAAACCCCACCGTTAGCAGCCAAAGACACACACATGATGCTAGACACAGGATGTCTTTATGGGAGAAGGCAAACCATGGGCTTGCGTACACTGTCTAGAGGGCTGTGTATGAATAAAAGTGCCTTTACACAATTATTTGAATAATGATAATTTAATGATTTTTACACTAAAAAATTTATACCTAACTAAAATTTTGTACTTAAATCTAAATGTAAAATTGAACAATTAAAAACAGAATTCACAGCCACAAATGTTAATGAATTATTTGTGTTCACTTGAGAAAGACGAGGGGTGGGGCACTATATTCCATGTCTTCAGAAGACATTTCAATAAGATTAACCCAGTTGTGTAAAATGGAGAAAAATGGTTTGAATTCCAAGAAATCATTCTTCTTGGACCAGGACAACATTGAACAAAAACATTTTCACAAAATTTCATTTTAATCATCTTCTTTACAAAGCACAATACTTAAGACTTTTCTAAATACAACTTTAGAAAATGAAGCAAAAAATAATCTCCATAGATGTTGGTCGAGTCCATGCTGAAAGCAAAAAGAAATTTTTCAGAAGTGATACTTCCAAGCTTCTTAGGATTTTTGATGGGTCCATTTTGGAAAGAGTAAAGATGGTGGCTGTTCAGACAGTGGCTAGTCCAGTTCCACGACATACAATTCTCTGCTAGTTAGCCCAAGGGCCAGTAATGAAGCTGGACACGCCAACTTCTAGAATCTCTTCTCCCTCTCTTTATACAGAGAAAGTGGGTGGCCTCTATGAGGGGAAGATGGCAGCCCTCTACATTCCAGGCTTCCAGTGCCCCCTCATGGGAAATCTCTCAATGTAATTATCAATAATCCTACTCTGTATACACATTATATAAAACTATATCATTGGGATTTTCATGATGATGAATAGTGAGAAATCCAAACATCAAAGAATCTAAGCCTCATTCTTATAGGTGGTGGGAACTCTCTGAAGGCTTCAAGTGTAAAATAAAAATGCTTAGAACAGTCACGGACTACAGGAATGTTTTATGCTGCCCTTGGAAACTTGGTACTCCTGGCCCCAAGCACGCTGAGAGCAAGGCTGTGAAAAGACGTGGAAATGAAGGATGGGAGGTTTCTTTCTCTACACCCTTCCCTTCCCTTAACTCCCTTCCTTAATCCTAGCAGACCAGGTGTCCAGGCTGTATAATACTCTAAAGGAAGTAGCAGCCTCAAGCAAGGATAAGTATGTAGGCAAGAGGAAGGCTGGGGAAGAGAGAAAGGAAGAGATTTTTATTTGCAGTACTTATGACGATCAATAATGTGGTGATTTTTTTGGTATCACTCCTTCAGTGTTATCAATTCTCATTCTTTGTGGTTGTGAAAAAAATCTATTAATATTTAGTAATTTTACTCTAAAACTCAGGAAATAAAGAAGCTTTTTAGAAATGCATAAAACATCTTCAGGGGCCATTAAGGGACCACCATCCCAATACCCAAACAATCTTGAAATACAGTATGCCCCCTTATTTTCAGCTAAGGATGAGAAAGCAGTTACATACACTAAGGCTGAACTGTTCATTTACTTCAAAGATAAAGCAGACAAGCAAACACCAGTTTCCTTGGGAGGGAAAAAGCAATTCCAAAAATTCCAGAAAGAACCAATGGCTACACTTCAACAAGAGCCCCCCCCACCCCCTTGCACCTAAGGAAGGGGTTACAAGGGAGTGAGGAAAACGACATTATGTGAGTACAGTTGAAACAATAACACACACACAGATAACCCAGTGCAGGAAATAATACAACTTCCCCCCCTTGTTTTGATTTGCATTTTACTTTTATTTATTTTTGCTTTAATAATGCATATTCTGTTCACGCAAAAGGTGCAAAGGACAGGAAGCAGGGGTTTAACTTGGCTGATGAAAAATCAAGCAGGGGTGACATTTCTAGTTTCATGAACAACCTAAAACTAGGAGAACTTAGAAGTCGCCACAGAGTACACCCAACTTCATGGCTGTCTCCTCTTAGGACCTTTGGCTAGGGGAGAGAAGCATTGAAGACAGTGGCCTCTAGTGGACTCTGATAAGTGGCTAAAAATATTTTTTTTTGAATCATGGTAGCTGCATCACAAAAGTTCCAATCAAGAGGGTGGTAAAAAGAAGGCACAGATCATTGCAAATACCGATTTTCTCTTTCTCTTTTTGTAAATATACCATCACATATAAGCTAAAGTTGATCTCAGGGTGGAGGAAGGGTTGCTGGCAGGAAAAGGGACGGCTTGGATCTAAAATTGCATATGTAATAGACTCCTAGAGGGGACACAAAGCGAGGCAGCTTTCTGCCTGCAGCAAAAGAAAGGGACGCTCGCTCCGGACTATGTGTAATACAAATACTGGGGGAATCTGTGACAAAACACGATTAAAAAAATCATAAAATTATAAAGCTTGTAAACGAATAATCTGAAATTACATTTTATTAATGGAAAATATCATCAAAATAGTACCACTATGGACTAAACTGCCTGAGTTTTCATTTCGCATTAGATCTCATAGTAAAAAAGCCTTTAGCACAATTTGCTCTGTTTAAGTCACAACCAGTGCCAGACCCAGGACTATACCATGGGGAAGAGTCTCCTCTTGGATGGAATTTGTGTTGTGCTATCAAGACTTTTGTGCTAATCTTTCAAACAGGGAAATAGTGAGGCAAATCTTTAATCTTTTGGCACAAAGTTATTTTGGCTGGGGCGGAAAATTTGAGTCTTGGACTCAGGATGAATAATGCGACATTTCATTGATCAAGTATTCATTTTGATTGAAGAGCTTTCTTTATGTCATTAACTTCCATCTATAAAGAAAAAAAGAACAATACAATGATAATGAATTGGCTGGTTTTGAGAGAGGCTGAAAAATAATCAACCTGGTTGATGGAAAGAAAATCTTATAGGCAAAACGAGTAAAATGACATCTGAATGAAGAGTTGATAATGATTCCAGAAATGCCTAAATGTAAAGAACAGGCACATAGGTGCAACGTGCTAGGAAATGGTGGGTGTTTTCACTCTTAGGCTACCAGCATCCAAAATGTGCCAAAAGCAACAATGGTTGGTATCTTGACCAGAGAGCAGTGCAGGCTGTCTTGACACATGGGACCACCTGGCAGTGCTGGAAGGCAGCTGTGGTTGGGCCAGAGGGGTGTCTGTCAACATCCCTCAAAGTGGGGACAAGCAGTAACCTATCCTTTCTTTGAGCAGCATGGGTCCTAACCACCACCGAGAGCACCAACTGGATGAAAGCTGTAAGTCTTGCTTTGGCCATTTGGTAATGGCTGAATTAGATCAGAGGCTAGTGGGCACAGGGCTCTGATACCCTGGCAGGACTGACACAGCCAACAGGGAGAAATAAAAAGATGAAGAGCAAATGCCAAATGTGGGCAGCTGTGGTCCTGGGAGTCCCAAGAACTGCATGACAGCAGCCAGTTGGCAGTGGGGTCTCCCCGGCGCCATGTCCTCTGGCAGTTACTACAATGAGGCCTCTGGAAACCAGAGGGAGCTTTTCACAGAGGAAATGTCTCAGGTAAATTCCAAGTGAGAAACCCAATTGGTGACACATGTACTAATGTCCCCCTTCCCCAAAACTTCCTGGGCCCCAGGAAAGGATGTGAAGGGAGCCTATGAAATTTTAAGAAAATGGCCACAGGAAGCATGCCTAAATCTGCAGAGAAAACAATCACTTAGTTTCAAAATAAAGCCCTGATGCTGCCCCCCATGCCCAGCTGAGCCTCTCATGAGGCAGCAGGGCCCCAAGGGACCCACCTGCAGTCGAAGCCGGATTTTCTTCTCTTCATCCAACTCTGACAGCAACTGCTTAATCTCTCGTCTGAAAAGCAAACAACAATGAAATGAAACAAAAGCCCAGACTTCCCCAATAAGAGAAATGAAGCATCTCATCACTACAAAATCCATCCGACCCTTTTACAAAAAAAGAAAAAAGAATGTGAACAGAACATGGTTTTCTTTGCATTGCTATTGCTTAAAATTTGTCAGAGACAGAAAGGCTTGCCAATATTTCTAAGCTCCCAAAATATGTAGCTTTCCAACAGTAGGTCTGAAATGACCTTTGAGATTCCTCAGTCCAAGCTTCTCCTAAGAGAAGATGGGGAAACTGAGGCCTAGAGAGGTGACCAACTTACTGAATGACTAGACCACAGGTATCCAGGCTCATATCCTGTTGTCCTCCCTCGTAGCCATCTTGACTGGAAACTAACTATCCCTGTATTATAGAATCAGTGGTTTTTAAATATACTTACACGATTTTCATTATAGACATTTTGACCACTCCATATACATTTCCTTCATTTTCTCAGAATTTTAAATTAATAAAAGGTTACTAGTATGTATTCTTGGATTCTCACGAAATCCTATACCTGTATCTGAAAACTCAGAGGTAGAATAACTGAACTGATGATATGGTAGTCACGTCACAGAGAAAGTAGAGGACACACAGTCTAATGCCTTTTCCAACCTTAAATGACGAAGTAAAACAAAACTATTCATCTTACAAACTCAGGGTTTTATACTTAGGACACTGCAACCATCCCAACTGCTCAGGGAGCTGTACTCCACTTCAGGGTAGGAAGCGCTCCGTTCTACACGTGCACGTTTACAAACTGGATCGGAAAATAGAAAAGCAAGGACTGCAGAAACAGCACAACAAATAAGGTAGACGTTATATTACACTTGCTCACTTCGGATGAGCACCAATGATGATCCCTAGACTTGGGCCAGTGTCCCAACAGTGTTGTCAACGTGCTGGGTTCTCGGACATTCACCAGTGCGATTTGTTACTGTACAGGCAGAATGAAGAGATATTGGGGGTTAGTCCTAGACCACCACAATAAAGCAAATAGTGCAATAAAGTGAGTTGTAATCTTTTTGTTGGTGGAGGGTCTGGCTTTCAATCTGTAAAAAATGCAGTATCTGTGATGTTCCATACAGCAAGGCACAATACAGTGAGGCATGCCTGTATATTTATTCAAGTGCATGCTCTGCACCACTGTCTCAGTGGGCACTAGTTAGGGCTTAGGAAAGATGTAAAAGGTGGGGTTCTAAGCAAACAGCAAGAGTCTGGGAAAGCAATGGCAGGCAAAGCCTCAAGTGGTCCAGGTTGGGGGAGTTAGTTGGGGAAGGAGGTGTAAAGACAGTCACTAAGTCTTGAACTAGTAAAATAGGCCATTAGTCCACAAGAAAGAAGGAAGACGGGGAAGTTATGGAGGAGAGCCAGGGCAGAGAGGAGGTGAGAACCAGCACATCTGGGGAGGAGCGGAGTCAGCACAGACTTGAGCTGAAGGCTAAAAAAAAGGTGACACCAAGAGCTAAGGAGACTGATAGGAACCCAGTGCCCTGAACATAAAGGCCAGGCTGAGGAAGACCCCAGAAGGCAGGCCTGGGAGAGGGGCCACTGTGACATGTGGATTCAAGATGTTGGCTGGGGAAGGATAATTCTGGCCAACTATGGCCAGGCTTCACAGTGGAGAGATGAATATGGGGCAGAACAGGCCCAAAGCACTGGAGATCTTGCACTCAGATGCAGGCAATTTTAGATATTCAGGAAGGTTCCAGGCACCTTCAGACATAGGCAATTTTAGACATTCAGGAAGGTTCCAGGCGCCTTTCAGAGGACCTCATGGGCTGAAGCCCTGGATTCAGGCTGGTCTGACCCAATGATGGTTTTGTTCAAAAGGTCATGAGCCAGTACTCTGGGATGTAGTGGGGTGGGGGGTCACTGTCTAGTCAGAGGGCTAATGTTACCTGGACATAGATGGGGCCTTTGGGTATGCAAACCTATAATGTGCAGAGCTGGATAGGAGCTGGGGACTTTTAGGAGGTAAGGGCAGCATGGCTGGCCCTGAGAGACCCTCTCTACTTGCATCCTGCCTATCTGCACAGTTATCTGATGGGCCCCTTCCAGGTAGGGGGCAAATCCTGCCCGAGTAGACCAGAACTGGAACAGAACCACAATGCTCAAAGTGAGTTCCACGGAACACTCATCCTAGAATGCTCCTGAAAAAAAATTCTGAGATTAAGTACACTTCGGAAACAATGCATATGCTACCCTCTCTATCTTCCCAATATATAGCAGAGGCTCTGAAAAGTCCTTCAGAGAAGAAATTAACTTTGTTTAACCCAACTATTCCCCAAAGTACCTGGCTGCAGAACACTTCAGGGCTCTCCAGCGCTGTGCAGGAGGCAGGTGGTGGGGCGATTCCATGAGGGTATAACTGAGTTTTCAACCCCATCTCCTGCCACCAGCCCAGGCAATTCCCTATCCAGGAGACCAGGTGCCAGGGATGTGCTGGCCCACTGCCCCCTGGGCTGTTGTGTGTCCATGAACTTGCCCATGCTGTTCCCTTTGCTGGAGTGCTCTGCTCTTGGCAAGCCTATATCACCTTTCAAAATATTACTCAGGAAACACTTCCTTCAGATGCCTCTCCCCCATCAACTCCACTCCCCGAAGAAAGAACTGATTCCCAAACTAGCTCAATTTACACAGATAAGTACCTCCTGACTTCTAACCCTCTGATCACTTTTGTCACTGCATATAGCATCCTGGGTAATACCCATGCCGGCTAGTTATTTTCACTTTCACATCTTTCTCCCCATCAAAGTGCTCCTTGAGGAAGAGGGACGTAGAGAGAGCATGGGGGTATGTGGGCATGCACAGAGAGAGCTTCAAGTTGCATGGGGAGAACACCTTGCTGAGTGTGAAGTCTTGGGTTTAAAGATTCCCTATGTCTTTTCATATATGGCAGCCCCTAAATGCAAGCCAATTACTGCACTGGGCAGCTAGCTGAAGAAATTGCAATTTTTCTGATGCTAGAGGAAAAGCTGGCTGTTGGGTTGATTAAGAAGTGGCTCCTGTGCGTCCTGGCCAAGTAGCTCAGTTGGTTGGACTGTCATCCCATAAACTAAAGGTCACAGGTTTAATCCCTGGTCTGGGCACATATGAGAGGCAATCAATTGATGTCTCTCTCTCTCTCTCTCCCCCCTCCCCTGACCCTGTTTCTAAAATCAATAAAGACATATCCTCTGGTAAGAATAAAAAAAAGTGGCACATGTGCATATCATATTTTATGGGCATTTAAAGATCTTTCCTTTCAGCAACCTGCTGAGTACGCCATTCCTTATAACCACCTCCTCCTGGTAGGCCCCTCAGCAGGCCCAGTTACACAGGGAGCTGAGCTCAGTGAAGCCTCTTGGGTTCACACCCACTGGCACGCAATGCTGCCACCAACACAGGGAGGCTGGCCCACCTTCCAGGGCAGGCTGGGGCCCAGGCTCACAGACTGGGCCCTGGCCCAGGCGAGAGTGACCCAGAGGCAGATGAAGAAGGGACCTAGACACTCACTTCTGCTGGTCCTTCATGGTCTCAATGATGCTCCTCAGCTCGCGGACCTGTGTCCTTAGCTCCTCCAGGGCAGCCTGGCTGCTGGCCACAGGCTCCATCTTTGGTTTTACTTCCGTGCCGAATAGAGATGGGGAGTTGGCCCTGTGTCCAGCTGTTCCCAAAGAGGACGACAGGGGGGCAGGTGCTGCCGAGGACAGAGTGGCTGGTCCACCACTGCCACCTGTAGCCATGGTCCCCGGCTTAGGTGGCAGGGGTGCTTTGTTGTCGGACACCTGTAATGAGAGAGGGCACAGAGGCCTCAGGCTATGGATTCATGTTTGGCAACACCCACCTACATCGCTGCCATATAGCGTCCCACTTCTCTCCATATGCTGCTCACTCATTGTTTTACCCACAAGCCCCTAAACACCACCCCCTTGAAGTGCTTTCCCCTGTATGTTTTACATTTGACCACCTTTCTGGCCAGGTACTTCCTGTGTGTGTAATGTACACGCCCAGAGTCCCACCTACTTGTTAGGTTCTGAGAACTCGCACTGAGCGAAACATTTTCTTGGCCGTTGAGAAGCTCAGAACCCAGTGAGGTATACACAGACAGAGCAACCAACCCCCTGAAGATGAGGGGGAAGTCCACACCCTGGCAGGGAAGTACAGAGAGCCTAGCGGGCAGAGCCAACGACTGAAACAGTGAGTTGGGCCAGAGAAATGGCCAGAGGAACAGAGAGCCATGGGGGTGAACAGCACAGAATTAGAAGAGAAGGTGCCCAGTGATGGAAGCTGGGGACTTTCCACATTGAAGAGGTGGGGAGGGAAGGGAAAGCCCTTGAGGATGACGACGGAGTGGTGAGAGAGGGGACAAAGGCAGACAGGAAGAGGAGCCTGGGTTATGAAAGTCCCCTACAGGAATTTCCAGAAGGAAGAAAATGGTTGGATAAGTGGGTCCAGGGTGTTGACAGGAAAACTGGGGGGGGGCCCACTTGAGGGAGACTGAAACCTGACTAAGGCAGTCAGCACCTGACTGAGAGATGAGGGGTGCGGCATGCAGGTTTAGAACTCTTTCCAGAAACTTGGTGGAGGAAGGAAGGTGGGAGAAAGAGAGAAGATTTCTGGAGAAGCCTCAGGAGGAGACAGGATCAAAGAAGGGTTTTCTTCACTCTTAAAGATGGGGGAGACCCTGAGCTGGGTGATATAATGAAGGAAAGAGCCCAAGGGGGCCAGGGTGAAGACAGAAGAGACAGGTGGAGGAGGCCGGAAGGCGAAGTGTCCTGAGGAGACCAAGAGAGCACATGGTGTGGAGCAGTCATTGGGCACGTGGCAGGGAAGGCGGCAGCAAGGGAAGGTGAGATGCAGGCAGGTGGGGAGGGCAGGACTTTGGAAGGTGAGGGGGTGAGTGACAGGCACAAGTCAAGGCCGGTGGGGAAGCTGAGCCATGCAGCCGGAACTCCCTGTAGCAGCAGGCACCCAGGGCGGGAGCCAAGGAGGGAATTGGCTGGCACGGTGAGGAGGCAGAGTCTGGAGTCAGACTGTGCTGGAGGGAGAGACTGGGCAAAGGAAGCCAGAGGCAGATGGGCCAGCATTCCCAGACTGTCTGCTTGCCTTTTCTCTGCCAAGTTCCCATTGAGGAAAAGCGCTTTCTGCTGCCAGAGATAGCAATCAGCTATCCCATGCTTATTGTTCGTAGGAGTTATAGTAAGAGGGAAGAGGGACTGACATTTATGGAGCACTGGTCACATGCCGGATGTCGGCTAGACAATTGAAACAAGGACCAGTTGGCACACACAGTTGACCGAGCAGGAAATGAAGGCTTAGGGACATGGTTGAGGAATTCCCCAAATTTCACAGCTAATAACTGGCAGAGCTGGGATTCAATCCTCTCCCCCATCAGCTGGACCCTCAAGCCCAGTACTGTGACCGTGGCTGTCCGAGTATGAAAATTCACTCGTTTTTATTTTCTTTGCTTCTTTCCTATTCCTGAGTTCACACTTTTTCAAATTTCCCATCCTGCATCCTCACGTACCTCCCCCAACCCACCAATGCCCTCATACTGACTGACCTGCAGACATTTCTTGAATGAAATTCTGAGCATTTCCTACGTGACCTGCTCTGCAGGCCCATTTCAGCTAACAAGTACTTTTTAAAATCCTCACAGAATAGAGGCTACCATATACCTTCACCAAATTAGTCCAAGTGGAATTTCTAGAAGCAATAAACAACATGACATGACAGCTGCAGGGAAGTGAAGTAAGCTAATGGGATAGAACTGTGAAAATCAAAACCATGAAGAGCCACTGCCCACCAGTAGGTGTCACTGTAGAAACACCCTAAGGACGTCTGAGAGGTCAGCGAGAACACAACTATTCGTGCTTACCTGTGGCCACACAAAAAAACAAAACCAAAACCCCCAAAATGGGTCTAAATCCAATTTCTGCAAATGAAATCCATTTATAAAGGAAGAGTACTTCAGTTTTATGAAAAATTAATTTCTCTGTTTTTATGGGATTATACTTTTGCTTACTATATCGGTTGTTAAAGAAAATCTACATGTGTAAAATTTTAAATCTATGAGAGGGAAAATCCCACATAACCTTTGATTTCTTTGTGTTAATTCCTGCTTCAAGTGCCTTTAAAAATGACTATGGTTTTCTACTTTTAGACAGAAAGTAGTCTCAAGCATTTATAGAAAATAATTCCAATTGGCTCTGTTCTCTTAGCATAAACTTCAAAATCTTGGTTCACACTCACAGGACAAGCAGAAAACACAATCACTAAACAATGTCTTCTTTGCTTCTCACAAGCCACTAACTTCAAATAGCTATATAACGTCCTGGGCATGCAATGAAATAAAAATGCTTTTAGACTATCAATTTATCCAAATAAATAAATAAATAAATAAATAAATAAATCCAAATCCTCTTTTAAGAGACCACCATTACTTATTCAAATGCATGAGCTGCCAACCACAGTTTGTAACACCACCAGTTTTGAACATAAAAGTCAAGATGTGTGGGCAGAGGGCACAGCATTTAATACAGTGAGTGTATTCTTTCTAGACACCTCTAGGCTTTTTAAGTTGTCTTGGTTCTTGAGATGGTGATGGTGTGTGACAGCGTTTGTATATATGTGGTCGATGGTATGAGGATGAGATCAAACCACAAGAGAAAACATGGGAAATCATCAATCGAACTTGTATGCCAGGCATTCTGCCCAGTTTTGGAGAGTTTGTAACATGCCTTGGGAATTTTGATTACTGAAGTCATCACTGTCACTAAAGAATGACAAAAACTTGCATGGTCTGTTGCAATGGACTGAATGTCTGTGTTCTCCCAAAATTCCTATGTGGAAATACTAAGCCATTTTGATGGTATTTGGAGGTGAGGCTGATGGGAGGTGATTAGGTCACGTGGGGGGAGCCCTTTATGAACGGAACTAGTGTCCTTACACAAGGGACCCCAGAAAGCTCTCGCACTCTTTCTGCCACGTGAGGACACAGTGAGAAGCTGGCAGTCTGCATCCCAGAAGAGAGCCCTCACCAGAACCTGGTGGTGTTGGCACCCTGATCGCAGACTTCCAGCCTCTAGAAATGTGAGATACTGTTAGTAAGCCACCCAATCTATGGCACTTTGGTATAGACGGCTGGACTGGATAAGACATCTACTTATCCTTGTTTGGGTCATAGCTCATCAGAGCATACATTGAAAAGGCAGGGATCCCGTGCTGTAGGGACACCCTCACCGTGGCTGATCACTCACTTGGGATATGGTAACAGTCTTTGAAGTTTTCTTTGACGCGTCCACTCCTCTGTGTGCAAGCGAAACGTGTTCCTCTTTATCTTCTTCGGGACTTGGGGAGTCAAAGATATCAGGGCTTGAAAGGGAAGACTGGATAAAGCCAAAAGAAAATGCTTTTGTCAGAATTACACCTTAGCTGACGTAGCTTTTGTTAGTATAATGTTGTGTGCTTTTCAAAGCACTTGACACTTGTGTTTTGTTTGTCTACTCATTATAGCCCTATGAGGCAGAAAGTGTGCTATTATCTGTGCACTAGAGATAGCGGCAGAACTGGGACTAAGAAGCCAGATTTCCTACACCAGGGATCTTTCTATGGGGGCTTTCAAGTGATGCCCATGGGTCATTTCACCCATGCAAGCATCCATCATCCAACTTTTCCTGTTCCCTTCATCCCTCAAAGTAGCAAATGTTTACATCCCTCTTGTAAACATTTACAGAGGGATGTAAACATTTGCTACTGTGTGCCAAGCACTGAGTTTGGTACTGAACTTAATGGTGACATGCTGACAGTCCAGTGAGGAAGGACACACAAGTTGAGAGGAGTCTGCCTCTAACGTGCGTCTCCTCCATTCCTTGATCCTTTTCCGGAACCACCAAATGGGCACAGCGAAGTGCCTAAAAGGACTTCTCCAAGAGGAAACCGTTTCCAAGGGGAACGGCAACGGGTCACCAGGCCTGCAGTCCGGTGACCAAAGTTTCTAGAGCCACAGAGCACAGCAAGCTCACACCTAATTCGCTACCTGCTGCTCAATCTCTGCTGTCATTGCCATGGGCACTCAATATCCAGTTTGAATTCTATCTTTGCCAAGGTCTATTTACAGAATGGTAGCATCTTTTGGTAAAATATGGAGATAACACCCCCACCTTTCTTGCCTCATTGTGAAAATCAGAAAGCTAGATGACTGTGAACCAATTCACTGGAATTCACTTGGTCATAAATGATTATTGTGCTAGAATTTTTCTAGTGTGTAAAGGACAAAGCAAAAGCAGATAAGAGTTCCTGTGGCAAGGAAACTTTTTGAGGGAAGACTCTATCAGAGATTGCTTTGGATGACCTCATGTTCAGTGCCACCTCTATGTTTTGTACCCCTGTAGTGGGGAGACAGTCTCATATAGAATCCCCACTTGATGCCACTGTAGAAAAACCCCACCTACAAATACTGTCTGTTTGCCTCTGTGTATCTACTTAATAAGGTGGAAACCTAACACATTTAGGAAATTTGTAAGCAAAGTTTTAAAATTAAAAGGTCTTATTAGTTAATCTTTATTTAATCTGAAAATCCCATTACTTAGAATATCCCCCAACCAAGCTTTCTTCTTACTCTAAGATTAATTGCTTAACCACCTTGCAATGCCCAAATCTTTTCATTTTCAGATTCTATTTAAAAAGCCATTTCCCTCCTATACAACGCATGGTTCATGACCTGCCAGTCAAAGTTTGCTCTTTGAGTTTTATAAACATAGATAGCTCAAACTAGGGTGAGAGGCCCCAGGCTGGGCAGTCATAACTGGTGCATTTCCTCAGTCTTTCCTTCCAATGGCCTTTTAGGAGTATGTCCATGTCCACTAATCCCATTTTGCAATGAGAAACCTACAGGCGCTAACCGGAAGAGTAAACATGAATTCAATGTACGTGATGGATAGCAGTGAATGGAAGAGGGCACAGTAACTCCACTTCTTTAAAGCACACATGTATCCTATTGTTTTGAGACCGCAAATAAAGTTGTTCCGTATAAAATGGCAAACTTTGAGTCACTGTGCCATAAGCTTCCTGTGGGCAGGGACCGCGTTCATCACATTCCTAGTTGCAGCCTTGGTATCAGGCACAGAACTGAGCCCACAGGAGATAGATACCTATAAATATTTGGTGGATGAACAAATGTGTAGTCTAAAAGAAGAGCAAAGATGAGACGCCTTTATCTGGTCCCCCCAAATATATACAAACTCTCAGACATGGGATGTATGAACCAAGGGTGGGGTGGTAGATGGTAGTTTGCATTTTTCTGTATTTAATCCTGGATGCCTCAAGGCCCTCTAGATCTTATAAAGTAGGAAAGAATTTGGAGGGAAAACAAAAATGATGAAGGACTTAGAGAGAAGCCATGGGAGGTAGGATTAAAAATTTAAACACAGAGATACCAAGAAACAATGAAATAGTTTGGGTGTCTGTGAGGCGTGTTAGGGAGGGCGTGAACAGGTGACAGGGAAAGGGGAAAGCAGGGGGTACTGACACAGTACTCTCCATAAGAGGGGGAAAGTAAGCCACTATTCCAAGACTTTCTTCACAAAAGGTGTCAACACAGAATTAGGTTTGCTTCATACAAGACGGAAAAAAGGATGACTCAAACCACACTTCCAGACTCAGGAATATGAAAGGAGAGGTTCAAAGAAGTGGCCTTCTTTTCCTTCTAAATGATGACTGTGGAGGTGGGGTCAGTGATGAGGTGAAAGGAGAAAGTGTCCTGGGAAACCTTCAAAAGGTTAACTCCTTGGTGTATCCAGATGAAGGTCACAAGGCCATAGACCTGCATTCCTAGCAAGGGCAAGGTGATGTCATAGAGAGAGACAGATTGATAGAGATAAAATAGGCGCAAATACACTGCTTGCAGAAACAGCAAGATCTTTCTACAATGGCATTCACACTTCAGTGTTAGAATGAAGAATTGGAAACAACATAAATGTTCAATGATGGTGCACTGGCTGGATAAACTATCTTTTCTTAAAAACTTAGAATACTAGGCAGCCAATTAGTGTGACATTATTGAATAGGTGTAATGACTGGAGAGAAAGGTGAACAATATAAGAGGAAAAAGCAAGGTCCAAACAATACATATTAAGTGACCCCATTGTGGAAGAAACAATTTTACACATAGAAATAGAATTTTAAATACAATCCAAGGATATAGCAAGAGGCTAACATTTCTTAGGTCTGGGGAGCAGGATTACAAGTAATTTTCTTCTTTATGCATTTCATTGTTAAAATTTGGCACTATAATGTGTTACAGGTTTCCAATGAGAAAAGAAGTTATTCAAAACAACCCAAACAAAAAACCTCTACGGGTTATCCAGAATATTCTAACTGCTCTCTCCAACATGACCAGGTGCCTTGTGCATTTAAAAACAATCTCCTAAAGGTCAGCATGGGAGAAAGGTTTCTCACTGCCAAGCACTGTCTAGTGGCAGAGCTTTCCTTAGTAGTTTTATTTTGTTTATAGACCAAACCAGCCACACTCTCCTTTTCCACCATTAAACATGACTTGTTGTTTTTCTTACCAATTTCATTTCAGGTTCGAATGAGAATCAGTCTGGAAGGAGAGAGTAAGTGCAAACAGGGAGTGCCCACCTGGCTGGCAGACACACAATGAACAAATAGAAATACCACTTGATTCTGGAAGACTGTCAAATCATTTTTTGGGCAGCAGTGTATCTCATGACTTTTCTTTCCTGTTTGTCCTCAAAACAGCGACATGTAGACCAGTCTTTAACTCCAACCTCTTATCTTTCTTGCGTCGAGCTGTAGAGAATTGAGGCGACACTTACGGATGTGAGGGACTGGGACGGAGGCCGCCGCCCTGTGGCTTTTGGTCTGCTTGTGGTTGGGTGACTGAGTTTCTCAGTAGATGATACCACGGAGTCAAAACCTTCTAGGTCTAAAACGGAAGTAAAATAGATTTTTAAGAGCAAAATTAGGAGTGAGTAAAAGGTTCTCATAACATGTCAGAAGCATCTCTTTTCCTTAACAATCATCCTTTATGCCTGGATTACATTTCATCATTTATGGAGCTTGTCTACATCCCTTGCTCATCCAATAAACATGATCCGGATAGAATGAAGAATAATTTCCACCTCAGTATATAACAAGCTAACGTGGAAGAGAAAGATGACTCTTCTTCCCTTCTTCCACACCTGTATTCATAAATCTTGAAAAGCTACAGAAAAAGTAAATGAGGAATTCTCTTTTTTCCCCACAAGTTCAAGTTCATTTTGGTAGTAAAACACTGGTACAGGCTCATCACAAAAACAGTTATCAGTTATCATGAGGTACAACATCCTTAGACAAGGGAGTGCTGGCCGTTGATCCCAAAAGACAAGAAAGGGCAGCCTCCTCCTCTGGCTGTACCACAGTACTCTAGCCATCAGCTCTCACCCTAACGTTAGACCATAAACTCCCTGGGGATGGAGAGCAAGCTTCTACTTCTCCAGATAACTCAGAGTCTGCCACCATTCTCTTTCCAGAGGCATCACTCAATGAAGGCATTGTCTTCTTCAGCCATCAGCCTGCTCCTTCATTCATGCCATTATGATTGAGCAACTACTCTGTGCGACACACACACACACCTCAATACCAAGACTACACCATTGAGTATGGTGGACACAAGCCTGCCCTCAGAGACCTCACATCTCTGTGACTGTTGTTTCAGACGAATGCATTGTAGAATCATTCAGCTAGACTGATGCTCTGCCTGGCATGTGACTAGGAGCAAGGCCTCTGCCTTGACTTTGCCAGCGTCTTCCACAAATGATCAGGACAAGTGACTACCTGGAACTACAGAGTTTGGGAGATTTACAAATGAAGTGTAGATGCCTATGAGATGCACAATGGAAAGGCTGGCAGAAAGGAGGGCCAACCCTGAGACCTATTATTGCTTGTGACTAGGGCAACACCATCTTTTTCTGACAAGTACACTGTGTTTTATATGCTATGTGTTCCCAAACCTTTCTCCATTCTCCCTTTAGCGTAGCCTCAGTTTTGTTTCAGGACATGCCCAGCCTGTGATTGCTCCGGATGTGGACATGTAGGCCAATTTGGGTCACTGAGAAATAAAGGGAAGTCTATGAGAGCCTCTTGGAAAGAGATTACCTCTCTGGCTAGCAAGTGCCAAGTGAGCGGAAGGCCATTTGCGTTGCTGCCCATTCTTATTCCCTGTTTCGGGATGCTGTAAATGGTCAGGATGTCTAGAGCTGTGGCAGCCGTCTTATGACCATGAGGGCAGTCTGGCCAATGCTCTTGGAGATCTTGAGCATGGCAGAGCAGAAAAATGGAAAGATCATGGGTGACCAATGAGCTACCCACCAACCCTGGAATAATCTAATGCCCAGACTTCATGCCATGTGAAGTTCATAACCCTCTGCTATTTCAGCCAATTTTAATCCGATATTCTTTATTTGCAGCTGAACACACCTAATCCCTATCTGCAAATCTGCTGGCTCAGGACAGAAAAGATAAAAATTATGTGTGTTTTTATCCCTCCTTATTTTGGGGAGAGCTCTTTCGTTGATGGTCATTATAAGTGGTCTGGCTGTGTGATGGCTTTATTCTATTAATAACCAGGTAGGTGTTGCCTGGAAATTATTTCCTTCAGTGGGATATACAAAACCAAGTACAAGTCACACTGATCAGCACAAATCATTACAATTACACCTGGGATTATAGGAAGTGAGTTTATTCTAGCACCTGGCGAAGGAATAATTAGTCAATGAACTCATTTTATAAGGGCAAAACAGGTATAACCAAAGACTAATTATCTGCAAACACAGCACAGAGAAAAATATTGGTGGTGCTCGGAGGCCAAAGTGGGAGCCAATCAGCACCTAGCACCAGATGGAGGCCATTAAAGGGACCCACCCCACAAGCCTTCTCAGCAGGGTCCAGGGATGGGCTAAGATCCCCACTGCTAGGTGAACCTCTCCAGAGCCAGTTCACTGCCCTGACCCTCTCAGGGGCCTTCCCTTTTAAAACATCTTATTTTCCTAAATTCCCCATTACACACTTGGATTGATGCCAAAGCCACCATCTGACATTAACATCCTCACAATTAATTAAAGCCACTTTTTCTCTGATTACAAAAGTAATACATGCTCAGTGTCATTTAAAAAAACCATACAATTGTGACAATGAAAGAAAGTCAATTATAATTTTATCACACTAGTACAACCACCATTAGCATTTGGGTATATTACCCTCCAGCCCTCCAGGCTTTTTCTATAAATAGTCTAATTCCCACTATATGTAGTACTGCATTCTGTTTCTTTCATTATCATAATATGCTACAACTCTAAAATGTTTTCATAAACATTGATTGTTGTATAATCTTCTACTGCACTGCAATTCATGATTTGTTGACTCAATCCCCTACTCATTTCCCCCTCCAATTTTTTGTTATAGATAAGTATCCACCAGTATCTTTGCATGCACTCTGCATACAATGGGTTTAGCAGGTTCTCTATGCAAGGGGTCCTCAGCATCTGGGTCACGGACCGGTACCAGTCTGGGCCTGTTAGGAATCAGCTATACAGCAGGAGGTGAGTTTAAACGCAATGTGCTTGAATCATCCCAAAACCATACTCCCTGACCTCTGGTCTGTGGGAAAATTGTCTTCCATAACACTGATTGCTGGTGCCAAAAAGGTTGGGGACTGCTGCTCTATGCAGTTACCAAACATGGAGCAGGAAATACGGCCCAGAACAGGGAGGCTTGCTCAGGGAGGGGGGTTGGTTGTGCAGGATGGGGGGCATGAAGAGGGCAGAGGAAGTCTGGGAGATATGAGAGACGACACGAAACCGAGGAGCAGATGCTCAGCCAACAGCTGGGGAGGAGGTGGAGGATGGGACATTAGTGGTTCCAGCAAACAAGGCGCTGTGAAAGGCCTTGGCTGTGTGCTACCAGGAGCTGAGAGGGGCCACCTCTATCATGGCTCTGTCCAGGAAATGGAAGCAAGCTCTGGAGGCAAAACCTAGAGCAGAGTGAAGTGATTACAGCAGTCACAGCAGTCGATCAAAGTGGTGACCGAAGGCTTGGGTGATTGGTGACAGGTCAGAAACACTGCAGCTGAAGTGAGAAGGAGGCCTGCCAGGGGACCCAGAAATCAGAATGGGGTGGGAGAGGGCTGTGGGGAGCAGGTGGCATGGCTGCAGGCCCCTTGGGATGGACTCAGTATATCCTCTGCTGTGCAGGGACAGACAAGTTCATGTCTAGGAAACATCTGCTAGACTCTAGGGAGGACTCCATCTTTGCTCCCCACCCACCCTCCTGAAATAATTAAGTCCCCCTAGGAGTTGAAGGTTTGATGGTGTGTGAGATGGTGGTCTGTCTTAAATCACACTTTCAAAATGACTCAGAGGTGGGTGTCTGTTTCCCGCACTTAGGCTGTGAGCCCCAGGAGAGCAGGAACTCATCTTTGAGCTCTCAATGTCTAGCACATTCCTGGGAAAACGTGCTTAATATTCTGCAAATGAAGGAACAAGCGAACTGAATGAGTCAACAAATGAATGAACTAATCTCCAGAAGAAACTCTGACTCCAGGAGTGCAGCTTACGGAGTTGACCACTAGTGGGGCATGAGGCGGCAGCTCAGGGTGAAGGCAGCATTCTGTGCCACGGCTGCAGAGCCAGCTTGGCTGGCCCATTTCATTTTCCTGGCAGAGGTCTGCACTGAAAAGACCCGCACACGCTGAAGCCTGGCTACACTTAGCCAGTGTCTCCACAACAGAGGGCCAAGAAGACTGCCTCATCTGTCACTCAAGAGGGTCAGAGTCCTGCAGGGGGAACGGCTCTTCACTTCTTCCTGCATATTCAGCTCTGTTTAGCTCCCTTCAGTTGCAGCTTATAAAAAGCACTTTTTTTTTGAAACAACAACTAGACCCAACTGCTAGAAAAAGAAAGACACACCAAGTATGAGGTCACTTGCTAAAAAGGGAACCTCAGACCATGAACTGCAGGGTACTTGTGATTTCTGACAGTGAAGGGGAAAACTCTTCAGTACTGTAACCTAAGGCTTTCATGGCTGTGGCCATGGTAGCTGAGATTAAGGCAGAATTTCCATGACTAACCTATTGTGGTGCGAAGAAAATGGCCCAATTTTCATGGTGGTTTTGAAATGAATCAGGCTGAAACTTGATAGGAGCTTTCTCAGCCTGGCTGGGAATTTTTCCTCTTAATAAAAAAAAAAATAGTTTTAATGCCCATGAGCCAATCCAAAACTATTGAACTGGCAAATGATGGGTATTTTTTAAAAGTCAGTTTCATAAAGAGGAGAGGTTCTTGGCTTTGTGATACTTGGAAGACGAGCCCTCTGCAGACGTACGGGGATAATTCACGCTGGACACAGAGTCAGCTTGGAAAGGCCTCCGACTCTTCATGCCACATGGAATGGCCCATTTTCCATGAATTGCAGTCACACCCTATTTAGTTCAATTAGAAAATGTGGGCTCATTTTCCACAGATGGGAGGGATGATACCAGTGACCACAGGTGACCTAAAGCACATCCACAGAAAACACAAGGGAGAAAGAGTCAAAAGTCTCAGATAAGCCAGCTGTCACCACAGGAACTATTTGTCAGCTCTTAAATGGCTGTTTATTCCTTGTGGCTCACTGCTCTGGATTCGAGAAAGAGCTCTGGAATGGAAGTTTCTTCAGTTGAAGCCTGTCAACATCACTGCCTCCCAGTGCCTCTGGAAGCCATTCCTGCTCCTGCATGCCCCTGTCAAGGATCACTAAAGTGGTGGGACTTCTCGCCTGGAGCTGCTGCAACAGATTCCTCACTCTAGGGCCCATACCACTCCACAGGCTGCTAGCAGAGATGTCAAAGTACAGATCAGAGCATGTCCCTTAGCTGCTTGAAGTTCTTCCCAAGTTCCCATGAAAGCCCAG